AGGAAATTTTAATTTATAATACAATGAAGCTATTCTTGTTTCAAATGTTGCTATTTACCTGATTCTAGTTTTAGTTTGTTTTTAATTGGAGTTATATTTCATATTTGCATTGTTTCAGAGTTTAAAATTTCTGTTATTTGTTGTTATTGTTGTATTTACTGATGGGGATGGTAGGCTCAACATAGCAAGTAGCATGTAGTGAGTGGTTAGAATGACAAGCCTTGGAAAGTTCTCTTTCCCATGGTGAAAATATTTCCATGGAATATAATTAATCAAACAGAGCAAAAACCAATTTTGCCATTGTTAGCTGACGATTTCTTTTGTTTCAGTTTTTGCAGGGCACTATGGCAATTTGAATGTCTAGAATGTGAAAGCTAAGGAAATACTGTGAATTCTTCTGCATGGGAGAACTGAACTGGATTATTATGAAGGAAAACTCCGGGATTTATTCACAGTCCCACCTGTTAAATCTCTTCTCTCGCTCTATGTTTTCATGTTAGCACACGGTCCAAGCAATAAAGGAAACACCTTTGTATTAGGATATTGTGGCTTTTAGAGAAATCATTCTATAAATAATGCTTAATATCATAGAATATTGCTGTATAATTATTGAGTAAACATTTCTTAGCCTTAACTTTTAATAATATAAGCTAAGGAGAATATACTTTCAAGATAGATTGGATGAGAAGCCAATTAAGGCAAGCCTAGGTAAAGCTAATTTATCCTTATCCGAAGCTTACATCTTGTACTTAGGAATTTTGTTTGTAATTGTTCATGTTTGGGGGCCATCTGGAAGAGGACTTAGATTTGATGCTTTGTTTGTACAAGGGTTTGTTCCTTAGTCACATAATCAGAACCGCCTGGGATTTTGCTTGTGAAGAACACCATAGTTCCTAAAAACGTGTAGTTATTAGCCTGAACCCATTGCCCTCAGGTCAATTCTGAATCATAGTGATCCTATAGGATTCTACCCTATACGTGGAATTGCCCCATTGGGTGCCCAAGGCTGTAATCATCATGGAAACAGACTGCTATGTCTTTCTCCCTCAGGGTGGTAGAGGGGCCCTTTTTAAAATTTAATTAAAAAATTTAAATTGATGTTTCCATGAAATGCCAATTATTTACCAGTTACCAATCTACCACTTTGTTTCAAGACCAAATTATTTTCTGATAGAATTTTGTTGTTGAAACCATGTATTTTCACTATAGAAAGCATTTTGAGTTAAATGGAAAAAATGTTGAGGTAGTATGATTGTTGATATTAATTGGTGTGACACATGGGTTCCAAAGAGTCACAGCTTCTGGGGTTAGAAAGATTCACAGCGTTTCATCAGATTCACACCGTGGTACAGAATTCCCACCAGATGGCAGTATACCCTAGCAGTGGGATAACAGTTTCCCACTACATCTAAACGGCAGAAAATATAAGTGGTTATTATGTGTACCAGAGGTCATAAAACAGGGTTAAGTGTTCGAAATCAAGAAGTTTGGCTTACATGAAAACAAAACAAATGGGGTTTGTGGACTGGTAAATCAGGTATTTTGAGCACATTCATGTAAGTTGGAGCACTAAACATGGAAGGCGTTGTTATTGCCATCAAATGGATTCCCGATTTCTGGAGGCCCAATGTGTACAGAGTAGAATGGCTCCTGGGGGCTTTCAAGGTTGTACCCTTTTGGAAGCACATCACCAGGCCTGGCTTCCAAGTTGCCTCTATGGTTTTGAACAGCCAACCTTTTGGCTGGTAGTCAAAACACTTAGCCATCTGTGCCACCCATGAATTCCAGATTTGGCATTGAAGCAATATTACTGAATAATATTACTAAGTAAATTGGCAAGTAGAGCTCAGGTACTGTTTAAATTAATTTAATCCCCATTATATGCCTTTCTTAATGAAATTAAAATAAGCCACATATTTTTATTTAACTGATTAATTTCTAGCTTAATACAAATTGACAGAAGTTTAGTATAACCGGTGGTAAAAAAAACCTCCAGGTTTTTTAAAAGCTGGAGGATGGATTGCAGTGGGTAGGAGTGATTTTCATAAAACTTACATAATTTTAAGAAAACATTCACTTTTATGAATCTTGGAAAGAAGTAAGCTAAAGTCATTTTGACATCAATTGTTTCATATAATTGGCTATAAAATTCACTTGGTCAGGTTTACAAGAATATGTGAGTGAATAATGTTTCCTTTGTCTCAAGTGTTTTTTATCCAGGAACAGGTATTTGATAAGGTGAGAGGACATTAACTGAGGCAGGAAAAGTACCGCATTTTAATTGGAAGTGTTGTTAGAAAGCAGATGTTAACCACACTGTAAGTCCTTCATGTTGAATAAGGGAAATCATGGACTTTTAATGCTCAGATCAAAAATAGTGGATTGCCATACTATTCTCAGGTTAATTATAATAATCTTCCTGATGTGGAAGCTCATAGTTGAGGAAAAGAATGAACAAGCACAACCCTGCCGTCAAGTGGATTGTGGCGCCGAGTTACCCTACAGGCAGAGGACTGCCCCTGGCTTTCAAATGTCGTAAGTCTTTAAGGAGCAGACAGCCTCATTGGCCGTAGTGGAGTACACACTTTTATGAAGTACGATAGTACTCGTCCATGTTTCTGCCAAGTGATACTTTGTTTGTGCCCCTTATATACAAGTCTTGACGCTTTTTCCCAAGGATGTTCCTACGAACTTTGGCCATAGGATATCTGTGAGGGAAGTTTCCATGCCAAATAGCTTTGGAAAATTCACCTTCCTCTTGGAGCTAGATGATTTACATCAGCAAAGCTTAAGGTAAATAAACTTGGGTTTAATTTTGTTTGACTCGGGTTTTTCTGTTCTCTCTTTTTTTTCAAAACTCTTTTTGACCACAGAACCCCTTTAGAAGGATGAATGGTCTCTGTTGCTCTATCTTAATAGCCTAGTCTTTTGCACGTTGCCTAATACAGATTATAAAAAGATTCTGCAAAGAGAATAATTTTTACAGTGTTTTTGTACCGAAATGCAACCCATTCTTTTGGTGCTTAAAAAAGAAATATCCATTCCTAAGGTAAAGATTAGAATGCTTTGTGATAAACATCAACAGAATATGAATATGGTGTAGTAGCTTATATGGATTAACCTGAGCCCAGTTTTCTTTTGATACTGTAAAACATGGAATAATATACACTCTCAATGTATAAGCGCATTTATTTATACAGTAAACAAGTTTCCATGTCATTTTGAGAATTTTTTAATAAACATTCAAATAGCTTGCTGTAAAGTTTTGTATTATACAAAATGTATTACATATATGTTATGAGATGCTTCATTTCAAAGAACAGTGCAATGCTTCTCCTAAGTCTACAAGAACTGTCAGATGACTCAATGTCAGGTATTGCACTTCTATTTCGAGTGGCAGTTTATACATTTTAAATTACAAGAAGAAATCAATATTGTGGGCAATCTTAATTTGGTTCCCTTTAACTCTAATTTAAAGGACTGTGCTCATTGAACCTCTTTAAACCTGTATTCAGCAAAAAGTAACAGGAAAAAATATAATTTATGTTTCTCTTCAGAAAAGGCATTTACCCTGGAAGGAAGTAGAACTTATTCTCTAATGTATTATAACGTCTGTGCAGTTGAAAAAATAACACCCAAAAAATCAGTTTGTGATCATTTAAGTAAAATATGTATGTCAAATTCACTATACTTTCTATGGTTTTCCTAAACTGGACAAACAATAAATGCTACTTCTCAAATATGTGCTTCTCTTTGTCCTCATATCTTTAACAAGCTCGTAAGTGATAAGTTTTCTCCGACCTGTAGCAGTTTTCTGGTACGCCATTAGGGAAACAGTTGTCAAACATCTGATAAATCTAGTGAGCAAAACCCAAGACTTCTTTCGGGTCAGCATACCTTTCTTTGATTTTTTAAAAAGCTAACCATGGGAGTTTTACTGGTTAAGTTTGTCTTAATCCAACGACTTACCCAGTGCATTAATGAATACTTTCGAATAATGTGTATTTGAGAAAATGCTAAAGTTTCCCCTGAGAGCTTGTGTACAGTTCATAAATAATATCAGATGATAGAGAAAAATATTGGGAACTTCTCTGTTTTTAGAGTGATGAGTATAGCAGAATATTAAATAAATACTAGCCAGAGGATTTGTAGTTTAGAATAAGATCATCCCATCCCATAGGTCCATTTATTAAAAGTAAAATTTCCAGTGGTTTGAATATTGAACCCAAAACTACTTCCAGCCAAAAATTGGAAAACAATGGAAATGTGTTTGGCTTTGTATCACTTCATGATTTGGATGCTGGGAAATCTGTGCTTTTAATCTCTCTGCCATATTTTCTCCTACTTGTTTTTAAAAAATGTATTTTAGTGACATATAAAGAAAAGGACCTTATGCTACTGAAGATTCCTTTATCCAAGTAGCTTGGTATTTATTTTGTGAGCATTTACAACTCAGGTGTGCTTCTATATAGATCTGTAGTATGCAGACACTGGCAGCACTTCTACACCGCCATGATGTGCCGCACGGTTGAGAGTGAGCAGGGGCCTCATCTGTGTCCGGTGTGCCCCTCCGGAGCGAGTGAGGAGAATTGGTCCAGGATTTAATAGTTCTATTTGGAAGCAGAATATGCCAGGAATGATCAGTTCCCTCTTCTGATATTTTCTGATTTGGGGGGCAGGGGCAAGCTTTTCCCTTAGGCATAAAAATATAAATAGGCATTTTAAATACACATGCATACAGTCATCTACATGTCAGTTGATTGTATTGTGCACATTTTTCTTGCTATGATTTTCCTGAAAGTTCAAAGGATAATATGAAGAGTGCAAATATGAGTAGTCTGGAAATACACTAATCCATTTTCTTTTATAAATTAAGACCCACGGCCATTGAGTCGATTTGACTCATAGTGACCCTGTTGGACAGACTACACTGCTCCATAGGCTTTCTGAGGGTGGCAGTCTTTATGGAAGCTGACTGGTCGGTGTCAACAGCTAACCTTTTGAGTAGCAGGTAAGCACTTTGAACCACTAGGCCACCAGGCTCCTTTTTGAACATGTTAATGGTAGAACCATTAAAAAATGATTTTTGGATTAACTGAACTCTTGGATGCATATTTAATATTCCATATTCACTCAATATCTCCATTGATCTTATAACAAGAAGCTAAACTTTTTACCCTTTTCACACTTAGGTTTCAATTTTGTAATCATGTTTGAGATAATGGTAGTATTCTATTTGCTAATCAGTATTTGATATTTTATTAAACTTGCTATTTGTCTTTCAACAAAATGAAGGGTGGGCAATCTAAACCTCTAAGCTTATTAAGCAATTTTAAAACATGCCACTTTACAACTACCAAATTTTATTGAAATATTTCCACTGATGTTAATTTGGTTGTTTGCTTAAAGCATAGATAATGCTAGGGACGGAATTTTAAAAATATAAAATTTGGGTAGATCAAAACCATCTAATGTTGTCTGGGCATCTTAGTTCTTTGTAAAAGGTGAAACATGAGT